GAACACTGACATGTGAACACTGACATGTGAACACTGACATGTGAACACTGACATGTGAACACTGACATGTGAGCACTGACATGGAACACTGACATGTGAACACTGACATGGAACACTGACATGGGAACACTGACATGTGAACACTGACATGTGAACACTGACATGTGAACACTGACATGTGAGCACTGACATGGAACACTGACATGTGAACACTGACATGTGAGCACTGACATGGAACACTGACATGTGAACACTGACATGTGAACACTGACATGTGAGCACTGACATGGAACACTGACATGGAACACTGACATGGAACACTGACATGTGAACACTGACATGTGAACACTGACATGGAACACTGACATGGAACACTGCATGTGAGCACTGACATGGAACACTGACATGTGAACACTGACATGTGAACACTGACATGTGAACACTGACATGTGAGCACTGACATGGAACACTGACATGTGAACACTGACATGTGAGCACTGACATGGAACACTGACATGTGAACACTGACATGTGAGCACTGACATGTGAACGGGCCCTCAGGGAGAGTTTAGAATTACATTGTAACACTGTTACTTCATCTAGTCCATGAACTGCTGCATGTTGAGCGCTCTTTGGGTGACAGGTCCTCTTTAACGTTTGTCTAAGTCAGGGGCGTAACTAGAAATCACGGGGCCCCGTAGCAAAACTTTGTATGGGGCCCTGTGATTGCTAGTTATGCCACTTGCATGCGAGGGGGAAACGCCGCTGCTGAGCTGGGTCAGTGACAGCCAGCACCCTTACATGCCATAGCAACCCACACGGCATCGGAGGGATGCCCTTGCCGGGTCCCCATGTCCCCGGGCCCCATAGAGGCCGCCTGGGTCGCTATGGCGATTGTTACTCCACTGGTCTAAAGCCAAAACTCTGAAAAGTTCAGGTTTTTTTTTTTTGCGATCTTTGTCCCATTGAGGAGATTTCTTTTTACTTCCTGTCCAGGAGACACAACAGGAAGTGGGAGGGAAATCTCTCCAAACTGACAGTTAGCAGCAGAACAGGTGTCCCCCATGGTAAGATTACCCTCTATTTCTGTTCTAGTGACAACTCAAAATTTTGGATTTCCCATCACTTCCTGTCTTGGTGACACATGGATAAATAGAGAGAGTAAATCTCCCCAGTGGGGACACCTAACAGGGGGTCTAACCCTCCCCCCTCTCCATCCAAACCCCATATATATCTTTTAGCTTTGGCTCCAATTGAAGTTTATCTCACGCACCCTCCCCGTCTCGGACGTTTCCGTCTGGATGAGTTTATCCACCGGCGGTTTCTTCGCTGCCGCCGTCTCGGACGTCTTCCTCTCGCAGACCCGCCTCCGCGTAGACATGGCGTGCGCCGTCGGTTCCGAGTCCGATGACAGGACGCTGATTTGTCTGCGGGACACAAATGAGTCATCACATAGAAAGGATCGTAAAGCATCACAAGGCAGGAAGCCCAATATTCACCCATCATTCACCCATCATTCACCCCCATCACACTGACCGGATGAACTTCTTGCGGGCCTCGTTTGCGATGGGCTCGTTGTCCACAAGGTCGGCGTGATTGCTCAGCGTCTCCTCGGCAAGGAGAACCTCCTCCTCATCCAGAACTGGAGAGACAAATGGAAGAGACGTTCACCATGACGGAGAGTGATGGCGCCATTCCTGCTTCTCAATGAGCAGCGGCTTTGCCCGCATGCTCCACCAGTCGGGTGTTGGGCCGCAGACCTGATCCAGACCCAACGGCCAACTGAAGGAGTCCAGAACTATGGCACGGCTTCTATATGCAGAGAGGTGGCTCAGAGTTGTCACCCTGCAACAGGAAGTGTTGTCACTCGCAGGATCTCCAGGGAGGAAACTTTGTATCAGAGTCACAGAAACGGATTTATACCGAGAGACATGACACCCAACAAACTACAAAACTGACTGCGTCTGTCATGAGTTGCCCTGTGCAGCATCGGCCACCTGCCGGTGAATGTTTCTTTGGTGAATACGTCCCTTCAATTCACATGATTTGGGGGTTTTTTTTGCACAATTTTCACATTTCTCCTTTCTGCGCAATATTAATAAGTGTGAATATTATAATAAGTGAATGCTGATAATGTCAGAATAGGAAGATAATCAGAGGTCACATGACTGAGATCAGAGGTCACATGACTGAGATCAGAGGTCACATGACTGAGATCAGAGGTCACATGACTGAGATCAGAGGTCACATGACGGAGATCAGAGGTCACATGACGGAGATCAGAGGTCACAAAAAGAAATGGAAAACCAAAATCACAGACGATAAGAGGAACGAGGCGAGTTTAGAACATAAAGTGGAATGAAACGGCATTTACTGGTCAGCTCTTCCTCCTCCACGTCATCGTCGTAGGCGTAGTTTCTCAGGAATTCGGCGAAAGCTCCATTTTGCTTCAGCAGTTCCTGATAGGATCCCGTTTCGGACACCCGGCCGTCCACGATGACCACGATGTGATCGACTTGCGGCAGGAAACTGATCCCGTGAGTGACCAAGACCCGAGTCTGCGAGCGACAAACGTCAGAGAATAACTGAATTTGGCTCCACAACTGACTTAGGTCTCGTTCACACCTAAGCGTATTGCATATGCGCGTCTGTCGCGCCACCGTCGTGCGTTTCTTTACCGCGATTCGCGGTAAAAAAGTCGCGCCACCGTCCCGCGTTCCCAAAGGCTACTTGGCTGTATCCCAATGGAAACGCGCTACAAAACGGCCCAAAGTAGTACCTGGACCTTTTCAGGCGCGGGCCGTTTTGTAGCGCGTTAGGGACGGGCGGAAATACGCCGAGGTGGGAACCAGACCATTGAATACAATGCGATTTAGATGTTTGAGCGCTTTGCAGAGCGTTCGCTGAGCGTAGAACGCCGCGCTACAAAACGTTCCGGTGTGAACGAGGGCTTACAGCCAATAATATAAACAGAAAGCAACTTCAATGGGCGTGGCCCCTTTAACAGTGCAGCCCCGGGGGGGCCCCCTGCCCATGCGGCCTGTGTAGTAATCACATGATAGAAGGTTCTGATCTGTACTCGCCTTCCCTCGCAGCAGCCCATCGGGCCCAACGACGTTGTCGAAGATGTGTTTAGCGACGTGCGCGTCCACGGCAGAGAGGGGGTCATCCAGGAGATAGACATCTGAACTGCTATAGACGGCCCGAGCCAAGCTGACCCTCTGCTTCTGGCCCCCCGACAGGTTAATTCCCTGTGAGAGAGGAAAAGATTCTCGGCAGGAAGCAGAAGAATGACCTTTGCGACTTAGCAGTGGTGTGTGTATCGCAAGACTGGCTGAACAGCATGACAAATCCTCTGGCAGGTGAACACATATATGTGCTTCAACTTTGTATTTGGCAATTTGTCTGAAGTTCAGTTTTATGATAAATGTTCCCTAAATGGATCGTGGTGACCTGTCAGTTACATTGTTCCCAGCGATCTCTTTGTAGACTACAGAACACCCCCCCTCTATGTTATGGAGATATCTTCCTTTAAAGACAGAGGAGAATTTTTAAATCTGGAGCAGCTCTGCATGGCAACCAATCAGCTTCTCTCTTTCATTTTCAAAGCTTAACTGAACAAACTGAAGGTAGAAGCTGATTGGCTGCCCTGGGGAACTGCTCCAGATTCTGTCTGCTCCAGTCTTCATTTAAGAAGTGTGCCGCTCACCACGGAGGAGATGAATTACCTTCTCCCCGATCTCGGTCTGATCTCCTCCCGGCAGCACCTCCAAGTCTGTGACCAGGGCGCACGCTTCCAGAACCTTCTTGTAGTTCTTCTCATTTGCTGGCCGGCCAAACAGAATGTTGTCCTTCAGGGTGGAGTTCTGTATCCAGGCCTGCTGGGGGACGTATGCCACCGAACCCTAAAAACAGAGAAGACGCAAACGAGGAAAACTATCAAATGATGACGGTGACATGTCAGGGGGGCCCCAATATCCGGCGGTCAGGAGGAGGAGGAACGCGTCTGATCCCGAAGGTAAAGTCTCCGGGACATAATACGAGTTTCCTCCTCCAAGTTCAGGTTATGAATACATAATGTTCAGACAAGAATCCTACCGACCCTGATGGAGACATCTCCTTCCATCTTCTCCATCTCTCCAAGAAGAGCCGACACCAGAGACGACTTCCCACAGCCGACGTGACCAACCACAGCGACCAGAGAGCCGGTGGGGACCAGCAGATTGAGGCTGTGGGAGGGGCAAAGGGTTAGATTGTAAGCAACATAAACGAGGAACGGCCAATGTGCGGCACATGTGTAAGAACCTGACCAGGAATATCCATCTAAGCTCCATTGCTGCTCTGGATGCCACATGGACATTACCAGGAAGAGCTTAAAGGAGAACTATGAGGGGGGGGGGGGGGGCTTTTCACTC